TTAGGGCCCTTGACCACCTTGGTCCATGCCCTTGACTGGACAGTGGGAGGTCCCAGAGTCTCCTTTGTCCTGGAGGGAGATGGTAGTCTACCCTCTGGCTCCCAGGGGAGAAGGGCCTAGCAGTAGGAGTCTATCTCCTGCTCGCAGTCCCGGATGGCACGCAGTCTCTGGCCTGTGGCCTGGAACTCCTCCAGCTGGCATGCCAGAGACCACAAAAGGGAGCAGACCTCACAAGGGGAGATGGCTATGTTCCCAGACCCCAGAGCCTGAAAAAGGGACAGGCAGCCCCTGCAGCCAAGAGCCAGGGGCTCTGTCTGCGTGGAGCCCGGAACTATGGGCACTGTCTGGGTGGCCGTCTCTGAGGTGCCAGAGCAGGGGGGCTACAGAGCCCCAGGGGACCCGAGGGGTGCGGCGCGTGCCCATCCATGGCATGCTGCTGGTATGCGGGCTGGGCCTGAGCCTATCTACCCTAGAGGGCTCGAAGGCCGGGCCTCAGGTCCTCCCGCTTGCCCTCCTGCGCGAACTCTGTGCTAACTCATGCACCAGTAGACAAGCGCACCTGTTTGCACAGCTTGTTCACGTGGCTCCTTGGGGGGCTGGGTGAAGTAGGGGCCTAGGCGGGGCGAGACCCGGCTCAGCTCCACTCAGCCGCCTCTTCCCACTCACTAAGGGGTTAACCCTCTCCCACCACAGGCCCTGCTTATCTCCAGCTGTGCTGGGGGTCGGCAGGGGGCTCCACAGCTGCTGGAGGGGCTTCGGGGGAGCAGGGGGGCAGCGGGCTTTCACCGATCTAGTTGGATTCTGTCCCTCCCCTCCAGCATGCCCCCCTCACCCCACAACTTGGTGTTGTCAGCAAATTTGGACAGCATGTAGTCCACACCCACATCCAGATCACTGATAAAGATGTTGAACAGTGTGGGCCCCAGGACCGAGCCCTGGGGACCTCCACTGCCCACATCCTTCCAGGTCGAAAACAACCCATCCACCACCACTCTCTGGGTGCCACCATCTAGCCAATTTTCCACCCGTCTGACTGTGTAGGCATCAATGCTGCAGTCACCTAGTTTTTTTTAAGAGAATGAGGTGGTTAACCGTGTCAAAGGCCTTCTTAAAGTCCAGAAAGACGACATCCTCCCCAACACCTGCATCCAGGGACTTTGCGTCATCTGCAAACTTGGACAGGGTGCTTTCTACTCGCTCGTCCAAGTCACTAATGAAGATATTGAACAGTACTGGTCCCAAGACAGCCTTGGGAGACTCCGCTGCCCACATTTCTCCAGGTAGAAACCGACCCATCCACCACCACTCTCTTGCTGCATCCCATAAACCAATTTTCCACCCACCAG